TATTTTTTTAATAATTTGTCTGAAAATGAATTACTTAAATTATTTGTTATAAGAGATTATATTAATCATTAGTTGAAACAATCACAGTTTGTAGTAACAATATTATTGTTCTATAATGTCAGAATTTTATTTTATTTCGTGAAATATACAATCCATATTACAACATTAGTATTATGAATATTAATAAGCATTTGTGATATAATGGTTTATTGCTATATGACGGTCTTGAAAAGAAGACATCCACCAACGGTACTTAACGGTACTTCATGGCAATATATTATTTTTTAATTTTTTAGTGGATGGTGCAGTTAATTTATTTAAATAGTCAAAGATAGGTACATTTAGTTTTTCATTAGAGTGTGAGAAGAAAATTAAAAGTGACTTAGTGATTGTGTGTTATAATATGTGATGATATTAAGACTTTATAATATTATTAACTACCATTCAATGCGTCATGTTTGACGATTAATAATTGTTTTATTCTCAATTTTTCCTAAACTCTTCAATAAATTTCATTTCTCAAATAAATAACGTTATTTTATATTAAATATAATTTATTTTTTATGTATCATAGTACTTTATTATAATAATATGATATATGTACCTTTTATTTTTATTTAAAAAAAAGGATATTTTTAATCTTTACAACATACAAGGTTTAATGAGTGAGTGTGGTGACATAAGAACATGAGACATAAAATGACATTAATAGGAAGGCTCCCAGCAATGCTACCTGACCAGAAATTAATATAATATGTGCCTAATATAATAAATTACATTTTTAATTGTATAGCTATTATTATAAAAACCATTAACTGTACAACTTTAAGCAACCTTAGTACATTTTGATAATCGACATTTAAAATATTTGGCAAAAAAAAGGTATTACACGTAATCGGGTTATTCAATTATTTTTTAAAAGTATACCTTAGATCTAGTCTATTATTTTAAAATAATTGAAATAATAATTTTTACCTCAAATATAGTTATTTGTTACATTATTACTAACTATTAAACTGCATACCAGTTTGAGTTATGCTCAGCCTCTCACGGATTATTTCGAATAAAAACTTTTCCTTCAATTTGGAGTCACAGGTTCTACGAACATCATATTATACGATGCACGATGCAATGCAGAGTGTACTGTTATATTAATATAATCTTATGAATTAAGATGGGTTCACAAAGTACTTGCTACAATGGAATAATTCCTAATGGAATAATTTTGCTATGTCATATTAACCAACAAATTTCCACAATCCAACGTAGTACGGTTATACTTTCGTGTACCTACTTATGCTATCTACTATATCTACTGCAATTAATGTTCTGAAACTTGATACTCATGTTCCATCTATCAACAGGACGTCAGAACGCACAAGATGACTGCACTGTATGAATGCACTGCACTGTATGTATACGTGCTTCGAAGTGATCTTAATGGAAACTGTGAAAGCCATAATAATGAGTATAGAATGAATAGAACCTTAGAATATCACTACCATAACTACTATTATTACTTTAGATTATGAATAGATGTTCCGTGCCACCATAATGTAGTTTTACACACTAATTACAATGTACAACGTTCAATTCTAAACTATAATACCTACCTCAGTATCTCAAACAGTAACACTTGTCGATAATTCTTAGTGATGTTTAATAAACTTTATGCATATTTTACAAATACTAACGACGATTACACAATTTAATAAAGTTAATAAAAAAAAAAAGCTATGAGCCAGTCAGTAGGTACTCAGAACTCACGGTAAATATTTGTATGTACAAACATCAAAACGTTTTTAGAGTGATATAGATTATATAGACCGCAAAAATTCAAAATATCGGTGTACATAACTCGGATTTGTAAAATTTTGAGTTGTTGCAGGCTTGAAGACTATCCAAGTCGATATAATATAGTATAAAAAAATTTAAATAATTATTTATCATTTATTTTACAAAATATATTTTTGTCCTTGATCAACAATTAGTAATGCAGATATTATACATTTGTAGGAGCGAAAATATGAAAAATACATTTGGGATTGTACATTTTTTAATTTCAACTGAAAAACTGCGTCAATAATTGTGCCACGTAACCTGAATTAGTGGCTTTTGTTCTGTCAGAACTCTTGGAAAAACCAAAGAAATCTTGAAGGAATGTTACAAGTTGTTCTCCAAATGGCTGTTAAAGTCTCCACTTAGTATCATTGGTAAAAGATGAAAATAGCACGGAATGGTAGTATGGTACAAGTAACTACATAATATAGCCATATAGAGGTAATGAATAACAACGATAAATTGTAAACGAAAAACGATTCTGAGCGGAGACGGCGAGCCTAGGATATATTATATTATATTTAAATTGTCATCAGTAATGAATTATATAACTATTATAAGATTATGATAGTTTATTGATTTAATTTTTACTAAAAACATTACATTTATTATATTGTTAATATTTAATTATTTTAATAGTAAATAATATATTTTATATAATTCATTATTGTTATTAACTCTTGAGCCAATACCACCTTACTGTAGAATGATGCGAATATGTGCATGGTATAAATAGGCAATAGCAATAAACAAAAATCAATTTAGGTTAAAATGGGTTTTTAATATTTTTTTTTGTTTCTAATTATTTTGAATCCCCAAAGTACTAACTAAATCCAATTTTCTACCAAAAGTCATCCTTAAAGTTAAAAATCCAAGCAATTTTACTTTACTCCTCCGGTGAGTGATGACAGACAAAAAAATTACACATTGTAAAATCAATAGGTACATTTATCGCTCTGCTCAGAATGTAATAAAATGTAATTGTAATAATAAAATATTTGAAAAATAAATATTTACGGTTTAAAATAATGTATGATTAATATTAAAATAATTGATCTTAAACTAACCTTAATTTTTAATATACCTAATATGATTTTTAATAGTTTCTAATTGATTTCGATTTCTAAGTACCAATAATGATTCTTTGTCTAATATATCTTATATCTTATATTTTATACTCCAAGGTTCATGCATAAAGAGGCCATAGTACACGGTGAAATGGTTTTGAAGACGTGCATTCGTAATTCAAGCAAATCGTAAAATAAAATGATTTCTAGTTGATAAATAAACTACCTAATACCTACCAGAAAAGTTGTAAGGAATATTTCTCAAATATATTTTTTTTCAAAGTATTTGAAGTACTATCGAATATTATTTAATAGTAAATAATAAATTAAATAATATATTTAAGTAATGCTTTTTACGTGTATTTGAATTACGTACTTTTAAAAAAATAAAAAAGTGGAAAACCGCTCTGTTACGGTAGTACAGTAGGTACTAGGTACCGGTTAAATAGAGAGCAAATGAAATGGACGTATTTGTTTAGAAATATAAAAAAAAATCAATAAAAATATCATTAAGACAAATTAAAATGTAAAATCAAAATTAATCAATTAATTGAACTTTTAAATCATTATTATTTTAGCTCTACAATAAATTATGAATAAATACCATTAAATATGATATTCAATTTGATGAGAATAATATATTATAGTAATATAGTCAACCTAACCTATCACCCATTAATACGTCATCGGGTCCTCAAAATAGTAAAAAAAAAATAGCATTCAACAACTTCAACTGAGCACCGGCCACCGGACTATGAGTTACACAATATTGTAATAATTTCAATAAGTTATATATTATTATTATATATGGCATATGCATTTACGGAGATTTTGAACTACCTATACATTGCTATACTGAACGGAACTGTAGGTTATTTTGATATAATATGGTTTTTTAATTAAGAACTAAGAAATAAAATAAAATGAACCATCCGAAAATAAAAATAAAATATTTAATAAAAACTAGTCTACAATATCAATAATAACTAATAAGTAGGTATTTAAAAATAAAATAATTTATTTGATAGTAAAAGTATTTAAAAAAGTATATGATCGTACCAATTAAATATTTTAATACTTTTATTCAAATACTTATTCTAACACAGCCTATGCGTAATTATTATGTTTAACGTGGAATCGTAAAAATTGGTAATATTTTATTTTGATGAAATTGTTATAAAACAAAATATTTAAGATTTTTTAAATTATAGTTAAATTTTTTACTGAAATTGATACCTACCCAAAATAAATACATTATCAAGCTTTCCAACTGATTCTGAGATACATAACATTATTACATTACACATACAGTTATAAAATATTCTTCAAAGATTGTCAAGCAACATTTTATTCCATGTTTCCAAGGATAAAGTAATTTATTAGTGTGGCTTAAAATCAAAAAAAGTTTTTGCTTATACTTTAAAGGGTTTTTGTAACAGCCCTATAAATTGTAATTGTATTAAATTTAAAAAAAAATGTTGACCATGAATTACTTATACTATCTACTATCTACTATCTAGTTTGGTATTTTAATATGTTTTTTTAGGTTATGATATTATAGACTTAGGTATACATTTAATTGGGAGTGCTACAAACTTAAAAAAAGTGAATGTCACACAATTTTCTAATAATAACTATAATATCTATATTACTTTTGTTATTTTTACATATTATGTAACCACATAGGTATACACGCACATACAAACATGAAAATAAAATATATATTTATATAAACTGTCCTAAAAACTATAATAATTTATGTATATAGCAATAAAAAAATTAGAAAATTGCTCAAAAGTATGATTAGGTACCTACCAAGTAGGTAGGTATATTAATTTATTCAGGAACAGACATATCAAGTTACTACATTTTTATAATGCACAACAATATGGTCAGTATAATAATATAATATAATATTATTATGGTTATCGAATAGGGTTTTTGAAGGCTTCATCTACAACGATTGTGTTACTTGAATATTTTGTATCATGAAAATGTTCAGTATGGTGTAGATAGTTCACAATAGAGGTAGGCCACATATTTTTCTTTTCGAAATTTTGGTTTGAAAGCCAATTAAAAACGATCCATTTTAAAATGATTGCGGACTCTAGTGGTTTGACGGTGCCTTTCGCAATTTTGTGTATTGTTGATTTGTTTGGTATATTTCCAATAGTAGTATTACCAGGACCTATAATAAAATGTGGTAAGTATGATGTGGAACATATTATTATTATTATTGTTTATTTTGTACGATTGGGTAATGAGTAATAATCAGAGGCACACAGGGTGGTTAGGAATACCACTGGCTATTGGTGTGTTTGCAATTCAAGTATACACTGCCATTTTGTTGGGGAAATGTTGGATCATAGCTGAAGAAATTGAACCAAATATTGTAAAAAAAAACCGGTGGGTTATATCAAAATTGCATAAAATAGTACTTATCGAATAATACTTTTTCATTTATAGTACCTACTAAAAATTTTATAACTTGCTGTATTTTAGGTATCCATATGCTGCTTTAGCCGAGCTTATTTTCGGTAATAAAGTAAAAAGCATTGTCACAGTTATGTTGGACGTCGCCGTATTTGGTGCGTGCATTCCGAACCTTCTAATTGGTAAGACTTGTAATGTTTATTTTTACCGATTATATCCTGTAATCAGTAAACATGTTTTCAAACCAAAGCTTCTTACAATCTTCACATTCTTGGAATTAAACTCTCGAGTGAAAGTTTTGACGTGTCACCGTGCATTTGGTTGATTGTTATTGGAATAGTATTGTGTCCACCTCTCTGGCTTGGGAGTCCAAAAGATATGAAGTACGTAAAAATATGTAATATTTATTCCGAACAATTTTGTTTTTGACTGATCAATTAATGGACTAACGCCGGGTTTCACAAAACATTTAATGAATCAGTAGTGACCTAATATGGTCCCTTAAACAAGATTTAGTGGCCCACGATTGGACCATTCAATTTAATAAATTGTTTATGCAACCCAGCACTAATGTTTCATTAATTAAGTAGTTATTATTAAATTATGATTTTAATATTTTATGTATCTCAACTTATTTTATATAAGTATATGACATAGTATTAGTTATTTATAATCTGAAATTTAAATAATCACAAATCTTGTGCTGATTGGTTGGTATATTTCTAAATTGTCAGCTTATTTTAGTTTTTTTTTTATTAAAATTGTGTTTAGATTTAGATCTTTATTATTCGTCTTACATTAGCTATAATAAACAAAGCACTGACTTGATTGATACTACGTAATGGCATATTATGTATTTATGTTAGGTACAAGATTCCTGTAGTGTTGAACCTGTATGGTTTTTAATATACCATCAGTGCTTATATTATAATGTATTTTTTAAGACATACTGCATTTTTCTAACGATTTTGAACGATGATAGATAATTACGAGCCTAGATCAATATAATTAGTTTTTGATAAGATTTTTATAAATCATAAAAATATTACATATTGAACTATAAATGTATATTACAGTTTATTATAATATTATAATATTATATATTACATACCTACTACAATATTATATTCTTTATAGGTAGGTAGCTTATAGTTTTATACATAATGCTCATAAGTCATAAGCTTACAAGTTACAATGTTTTAAACGGCTTTATATTGAAAACAAAAGCTTAATAGTATGAAATAATAATATGGGTATTAGTGGATGAAGGTGTTAACTAACACTTTTCTCTAAATCGTTTTTATTACATAAAATTATGGATCATGACATATTACATAGGCTATACAAACATTAGAACAAAATAACTTACAATGTGAGATTATCAAATTGATAAAGGTGTTATTTATACAATCTGTCGTTCTGGTTTTGTTGATTAAGGTGTTATTGTATTAATCCCCTAATATTTTATTAACAGATACAATTTATAATTAAATTCATAAGATTTCAAAGTATTGTTTATGACTTTAAAATACATAATTTTTGTTTTCAAAAATTTCTTAGCATTTGAACAGTTAAAAAGTTTCAAGTTTTTATACAATTAAACCACTAAAACTATCGTCCTGAATAATTTCAAAATTGTAAGTTAACACTTTCATCCACTAACCTCTTTAATTATGAAACACATAATACGCAATAAATACATTATAATAATATTGTAGCTTGTACTTATATACTATAATATAATAATAATATTATGTATTTTCATTATGATTTTTTATTTAGATGGATTGCATCAAGCTCTGTATTTTTTGTGGGCTCAGTGAGTGTCTTAACATGGATAGCAATGTACGATACACAACGTGACATTTATGCACCAATTCCTGAACCTTCGTGGAATAGTGTCGCTCTGGCTTACGGATTATTAGCATTTCAGGTTTGGGCGTTATTCAATTATTTCATGCTAGTCTAAATTAATAAACGCATATATAGATGCACCTATAATATAATATAATATATTGATAGTACAGAACATGTAATTCACTCATATTGTAGTTTGACGTACATCCTCTCGTCCTCACCGTACAGATGGATATGGTTGACAAACGAAAAATGCCTGTGGCGATTATTTGTGCATTTTTAAGTAAGGTGTTAGGTGTTAGCCAACAATTGAGATTAATTAAACATTTTTCTAAAACTGTAAACTAATAATTTATATTTATGCATTTTAGTAACGTGTAGCTTATTTTTAATTACTACTGTCATCGGATATGTACGATTTGGATCGCTCTTGAGCTCTAATCTATTGGACCAATTGTCTAATAGTTATATATTGGACGTCAATATAACTTTAGTCACAATTCAAATATGTTTATCAACAGCAGTTAGCACCACGGCACTGTTTCAGCACATTGAACATTTTCTTAAAATACCTAAAGGTATATTCTAGACCTAAATTCACCTGGACTATATATAACATTCCTTAACACTGTGCATTATAATTGTTATGTTTAAGAATTCAATCGAAGAAGGTGTGTATTAAGATCATGTATAGTGATGTTGGCGGTCACGATAGGAGAGGCTGTACCAAGATTTGACCTATTGATGGGATTAGTCGGTGCATTGTTGACTGGTCCGTTGATGTTCCTTTTGCCGCCATTGTTTTACATTAAAATAAGATCGCTTCGTCGACTAAAAATAAAAAAGTCCGAAGGGGTGTGCTATCGCACGTTTCCAAATGCGAAACTGACTCCGATAGTTGGTTTCAAGCGTTTAGTACTGTTGATGTTTATAATATTGGCTGGAACGTTGGCAACCATCTTGTCGACGGTATCCGGGATTCGAGACACAATTATATATGCTAAGTTCACGCCTTCGTGCATAATGAAATTATTTGAATGACATAATTTGATAATAACATGTTTGTTTTTCGAATTTGTTAATCAGAGTAAATACTGAAAAAAACGGTATGTGACTGTAACTGTTGAATAAAAATATTTAGTAACGGCTACTTATCACTTTATTTACACAACATAAATTTTATCTACAAAAAAATATATACACATTAAAAAAGGCATGTTCTACTAGTATAGGAGATTTGAATATATTTCTTGGTTAATGGGGTACTTAAACACACACTCACACACTCACACATTGCTCGGTTTATATTCCGATGAGAAATGAAAATATGTTGCCGGAACAAATAACAATGCGTATGTATGCCTTTCGCCACTGTCAGCTTAATAACTTTTAATTTGATTTAATATGCTCATAAAGTTATGAATGTGCACGTTAAAAATAAGGTATACGTATACCTATAGGTACATTTGTATATTTTGTTATGGGAAAATGTAAACATTGGTTTTAACGAGGTGATGAATATGAGTCAAGGGCAACAATAATACTGTCGTTCCCAGAGCGTTGGCCTCTATTCACATGCTATTAGATATTAGCATAACAGATGCGTGGTCGCATGCATACAATAGCCCACTTTTAATCGATCCATTGTTGTCCGATTTTACGATTTCGCGAACGTTACAGGGGTTCCCTTTTCACGTATCACTCGTAGAACTATACCAGGTAAAAAAAAATATATAATATAATATATAGGTGCCTACAGATAACAGGTATAGTATATTATAAAAGGTGTTGTGATTGATTGAAATGTCAATTTTTTTTTATAAATTGTATGTAATAAATATGTATAGGTACTATATTTATTTTAAACGTTGACACAATATAGTATGTGTTTGTTAATTAAATTTTAATATTTAATTATGCATTGTGATAGTCACACACATAGACAATTTAAATCAAATTGAAAGATTTTAAGAAGATACAAACCAATCACATGTACAATTTACATATTGTTAAGATCTGAAACGGCGCCTTGCAGACATAACTGACCTTAAACTTGAATGACCAACTTATTCGGCCTCCGTGAACGCGCGCATGTGCCCCACCAAAGACCGGTTCGACATTCCATCTCACTGTATCTCCGAACAGAAGAGACAGTGACTTATCTGTACTAGTAGCTCCCTATCGTCTCGTATGTTATAGTTAGGTCTCATGTAAATTGGTATTGTTTTTTGTTTGTATTATGACAGTTACGTGTTTTTAACACGGAAATGACTACCACGCCAATACCATTTTAAGATGCATAACATTTGGATATTGTGGTTGTTTGCGGCAGCGGTAAGTAAATAATATAACATCTGCAGTATTAGTATTAAATTAATGTTAAATTAGTATTTTAAGTCTCTAAGTAAACGCTGCAGGGCTCAAATACAGCTTGTCAATTTACATTTTTATACAATGTATTCTTAATAACAATTGTACTAAAATGTATACCTATTTATAATACATAAAACAGTTTCTTCAAATACTGCAAAGTACCGCATCATCTGTGAGTAAGCTATAGTCACTATTTCATACTAAACCATGTAAAAAAATAATTATAACATATCGATTGGTAGGTATCTAAATACTAAATACTTATATTTTATTCTGTATATTAACATTGCGATACTCAACGGTGTGTCGTATCAGATAAATTATGCCATTTAAAATAAATATGAGTAATATTTATTATTTACTACTATCATTAGATATACCGCAATAGTAAATAGCCAATAGGTATAAAGTACCTATAATATATTAATATCTATAATATAGAATCAATAGATATTTGGTAGGTACATTATTCTCCGGTAATGTTAAAAAAAAGTGTTTGAGTATAAAATTTACCCAGGTAGGCTAATATTATTATAAACTAAATTGTGTTGTCATAATAATAATTAAATCCTTAAAGCTTAAATTGTATATCACAAAGATTACGGAGTATGACAAACCTAATGAAAAAAGGTTTAAGGAATAAAATTATTTTTAATAAAAATATGTTAAAATGTAGAATAGTCTTGCTTATAGAATAAATCATTGACGTACGTATGTACAATTTTAAATATTAAACTGATCAAACAAGATTAATATTTTTTTTATTCACAAATGTATTTTATTCTTCGGTCTATTGGTCATGCATCCTGTGAAAGTGAACTACTGTACATTTTTTCCGATAGTCCCAGCCTCAGGTATACACAATAGATGAATAAAAGGAAAAAGGAAAATATCGACTGTTTTAAAAGATAGTGAAAACTGTTGATGGAATTCAGTTGAGACTGATGCATTGACACATGTTCCAACATCTGACTTTACTAGTTTTCATATTTTATTGAAAATATTAACAGTCACAATAATAAACATTATGCGATAACGTTGATATGCTATTCAATTAAAATGCTGTCAAATAATAAATTAAAATCCATAATTTTTTAAATAATTTTTGTTTTAACATTATTCGGCTACATGAGTGGCCTATATAATCTATAAGAACTTTTAGAATGAACTATAGTAAATCAGGCATCATTTGTTTTATATTTTTAATTTGTGTTTTCAGATTCAGTTAATAATTATTAATTATAAGTTTATAAGTTTACTCATATGTATGTTTATTTTAAATACTAGACCATTTAAAATTCCGTGCACATAAATAATATCGAGATTGGTACAAATTAATTAAAACTGGAACAATGATAAAATATAAAACCTAAGGATAAAAAAAAATGGCATATAACAATAATTGTTTGCCTTGTACATCCTGCGGTAGAAAACATAAATTAACAGCTATATCTACAGGGAAGCTGAGTTTTCTCGAAATAAATGCATAAATTATACAGGGTCACAGGGGCAAATCGAAAAAGTTAACCCAAGTAATGAACTAAGCCTAAACCTTATGCCTGTCATTTATATGGTTTTTTTTTGTTGTATCAAATAAAGTAAGTACGTTCTAAAAAAAACGTTGACCCTTTTAAAAATTATAATAATGTTTAATTTAAAAATGTTAAACATTTATGGATATAAAATATACGTATTCAAAAAAGTTTACTGAAAATAATGTAATTAAATCCAGTTTGTATTTGTTTGGTTATGTTGCAATATCGACAAAAAAATATTTTTAGAATTGAGATTTTCATCGAAATATCTTTTGTTGTAAATTTATGATAAATATACATTTTTAATTTTAATTACCGTTTATTGTGTTCTATAAATAATATTTCTGCGTTAGGTTCAAAAAATTAACAAAATGTAATTTAATATCCTGGGGGCTTAGAGACGTAAGGAATGTTCGGTTATCCATTCTTATATTTTTTTTCAGCAATTTCTTTACTTTTTTTAAATTGTATAATTATTTTTGGAACTTTAGTATATTATCAGAACTCATATTTTTGTATTGTATATATTATTCAGAGGGCACTGTGTATGATTATTTCCATAAGTAGAACTGTAGACAGTATAAGTTGACACTAATTGCGAAAAATAAATAATAATCTACTTATCTTATAATATATATAAATATTAAACTTCATGATGTAGGTGTATATGAGACTATTATAAATAGTAGTATTATTATGTAGGTAAATACAATTGCAAATAATTGTCTATAGACTATAAGTATGAAGCTCAGTTTGAAAATATATCAGTCCAGGTATGTAAATTATAAAAATGAAGTGCTTAAGCGGTGATCACTTGAAATTATATTCGAATATATTAAATGAAGAAAAATACAAAATTAGAGAGATACTTATTTCAAGTTATTTGTATTTTGTCGATTATTGTTATAACTTATTTTGACGCAAAATATAAAACATCAATATCCATTGTGTACTTAGGTACAACTCATTTGTTTTGGTCCATTGATCAAACTTTTAAACATAAGGCAAAAGACATTTTTTATCCAATATTATCTTATAAGTAAATGTCGGAAAACGTGTATATATAGTTACGTGGGACGTTAAATTAAATTACTAGTGTAGCGACCAGCAATATTGTTGGCACTTGCGAATATTGTGGTCGTTAAAATGAATAACTGCTTGTTCTAAAATGTGACAGCCGTTTCTAAAATACAACTTTAAACATTATGTCTGTGTATATCGACGTGTTACAGGCATTTGTGGCTGTCTCCTGTGACGACCTCGACGACTTTCCTTTGGACGGCGTCGGTAACGACGATGTGACAGACAATGACGAGTCTCCTAATACAACAGTAGAAGGTGAAATGCCCATGTCCAATCTCGATATGGACGAAGTACCGTCAGATGAGTCCGTGTGAGTATCTATAATATAATACTTCTAAAGTCACAGTGACAGTGTTACCAGGAAAATGTATTTAAAAACGCATCGTGTCATATAATAAGCCAGGTGGGTCGTTAAAAATCCTCTACTGCAAATGATCAGTAATCTATCTTATGGCGACCAGCTTTCTCTGTAGCAGTTTATTACTCTACAGTCTACAGTTTTACACCCACATTCGTATAAAAGCGAACGAACATGCTACTTTATCCATAAAATATTTGACTTTGCGTCGCGAGTATAATAAATTATTGTTGTTTCTTGTCAAACTTGTAGTTTCATAAAAATAAACCTACCATAACAAAAGTAGTGATCATTCTGTAAAATTAAACGCTTAGCACTGCAGCTCACTGATCCATCAAATAAAACTTGTGCAAAGTTTTTTTTTTAAATAGTATATTATGTGCCCGCCGGATGTTGTATTATCTTGTAAGTTTTTTTACTAGAGGTTTCAAATATCAAATGTTTTGTGTGATGATAAGCAAACCCTATTATAAAAGTTAGATTTATAATTATATAATATGGTCGCATGACTTTCGTTACTAGATTAAAAAAATCATTTTTGGACAACATTCGTATAGAATATAAATGGTGTAATCTAGCTAAAGATCTTATGGTGTACATAATATATTTCCTTAAATAAAAAAATGTTATTGATATTATTAATTATATTTTAATCTTCTATTATTGTTAAAATGGATGACATGTAAACGCCGTGTGTTATAACTGTTTTATTTATACCGGTTCTAATAATGTTATTATTTTTTTTTTTTGATCATCTTATAACTGCTGTAGATCACGCACCTATAGTTATAGTAACCGAGAATTTCTGGTTAGCGTGCTTTTCAATTGCGTAGGTAATTAAAATAATTAAACATAATTTGATTATAATAGGTAGGTACATATTATATGTTACATTACATGTAGTTTCTTTTAAAACAAATGATGTACAGGAAAATATATTATCATGTTAACGTGCGAATACATGTGTACAGAAATATGGCGGATCGAAAATCCGACAGTATGCAAAAACTAGTGCAGTCGGCGATGCGGAAACCTGGTATGAAGGAACGACTGGCTCAAGTCGTGCCCATCATCAAGGCTATGACCCCAGCGCAGAGGCTCGCACTCGCCGGCATGGTGATGGGTAAGGGCCAATCGCAGAACCTCAACAACAAGGCGCTGAACGCGCAACTCCTATTGCCCATCAGCCAAGACATAGCGGCTATGCTGAGGAACGGCCAGTCGACCTCGGGCGGCGGCGGCTCGTCGGCCAGGGCGTCATCCGGATACGGGGTCAGATAATCTTATAAATATTATACTATGAGACTGCGCTACTATATTATATTATACTGTACTACTATATTCTGAGTTAGAACCTATTATGATATTATTATGGCCATCGGTCGATTTTACAAGTCCTAATACCATATTATTATTATTTTTACATATTATTGTATACCGTACGCGTTTCTCGCAGGTATAATAATATAATACTATTATACCTATGAATTGTACGTTTTATTTGATTTTGTTCGTTTTAAACAGTCTTACCATTTGTCCGTTCCTCCTAATCGCCTCCGAATGCCGAATACATTGATCCGCCGGTTTCCGCAGCGGATTATTGAACGACCGGGTAACTGGTTTTATTTATAACTTATTCAAATATAGCTGGCCTCAAGGCCGTTGACCCAAATAACACGTTTGCATTAATGCCGAAACAGGTATGAAGAGACCCTACTCGCCGCCTGCAACTGTACTTAGACAACCCAGCAAGGTACCGGAATCGCCGCCCACCTCTGAAAGCCCACTGGATGACTGCGACTTGTTCGGTGATAACATTTGTCTGAACGTTCAAGCATACCCCGAGTTAGTACAGGCTGAATTAGCTCAGTATTTTAAAAATAGATTAATTTGAATGTGATGGGGGAGAGGGGATCTGGGGATCAATAATAAAATGTATAAGACATACTATCAAAAACGGTCTCAAGGTCAGTAACTAGTTATAGGATACTAGATAACTCATCAATGATCCAGTTATTCAATCCATTAATTCAGTAATAATTGGACTTAAAAATATATATTATTTGTAACTTGTAGTAGGTATGTTGAACTCACTGATGGTGTTTTGAAACTATTGATTATAACCAGTTGGGATTTCGTAGTGCTATAAAACTAAACAAGCATTAAACAATCAAAAAAAGCTCTAAAAACTATTTGAAAAACCCACTTTAAGACGTACATATTAATTTGTTTTAGTCTTCGAATTTATAGGTATAATTAATAGTTTATGACTTTTTCAGATAATAAATAGTTGAAATTTCCTATTTATGTAGGTATACGATATTTCTAAGTAGTAAAAAAAAATTATTAAAAACTAAAATAAGCAAAAATATCTAAAAAAAATAATAATCACCACGCTAAAAATAACTAAATAAAAGCAAAATAAAATGTCATGTATTTTATTGTACGTAGTATGGAATCAAATGTATAGCGACATACTTGGTATAAGAGTTATAGAAAGAAAACAAATCCTACAATGATTTAAACGCCTAGTGTCAGTTTTTTTTAATTGTACTACATATTTGGATTTGGACAATACATAAGAGTTAATAAATTATATAGGTAATTAAAAAAAACGGAAATATTAATGGGAAGACAAATACGGTGAAACTCTATTGCCTCGATACTGTAAGCATAGGCGCCAGGTTTTTTAAATGTCAATGGGGGCCGAACTTACTACTTTATAGCCTTAACTTTTGACTTTATTATATTCATGAGCCCCGATTAATCTTTTCAATGGAGGCTTCGGCCCCCGAGCCCCCATGCAGTCGTTGCCTATGACTGTAAGTACCTATAGGCAGGTACTATGGTCTATTATAGTTTAAATTGGTAATTTTTCACTTGATATTCGGTTTACAATTTTAATATTATAAGTACCATACTAGTATACTACATATGGGTTTTAGGTATATTATCGTTATCCAATGAAGTTCACTCATGATATGTATATGTACTATGTAGGAACTATTGTAGGTACTAATATACGAGTATAACATTTTATGAGGGAAATATTCGTATACATAGTATTTATATCTAACCTATAATGTATTTTTTTTTTTATTATACCACTATAATATAGGTTATATTATTTCAATATTTTATACGTAAAAATAACAATTATACGTTATAATAACAAGTATATTTTATATAGGTATTTATTATTTACAACAGGCAAGTGGGATAAGCATTTTTTAGTTTTGAATTTGTATATTACATTACTACGTTCGTATCATAACCATTAATCAATAATCAATTAATGTATGAACTCGAAACCCTTAAATATAAACATTTTTAGGATATTAATATTAAATTAATAGGTACTATATTAAACTGGGTAGTTTTTATGAATAGTCTAGTCACTACCCACTAGAGCCAGTGTATGCTTACAGGAAACTAAAATTGAATAGTTGAATAAAATATTGTTTTGGTTTAAATTATTACAGTCTGGAAATTATTGAAAGCATTGAAGATACAGCCAATAGTAGAGCAGCATTTCAAGCATTAATTAAGGATCCTAAATATAATATTTCTGATTCCTTCGATGCAAATATATCTGAAAGGTATTTAATTAGTTCGATAAATATTGAGCGAATCTAAAAAATATTATTCATGTTATAGAAGAATTGATGGTAATACTGAAGTTGCAATCTGTCAAAGTAAAGTAGCGATGGCTAGACCAAAAAAAGCTCGATCAACAAACGGTCAATGGAAATACGTGGTAAACACCGATGAGTATGTTCAAACTCTACGACTTGAAAAATGCTCGTAAGTCCCTATTTTATTCTCCATAATTTGGTTTGTACACCTATTGTTAACATATTGTCATTTATTCTTTATTTAGGAAACCAGAAACCAGATGTTCTCATGTCTCCACAAAATTCAAATCTACGTGTCATCAGGTGTATAATTATCATAGGTTACTTACTTGGGACCAATTCTCTGGATTAACGATGGATATATTTAAGGTATTTTAATGGTATTGCACTATTACGACTACAATTCTACAAAGCTTATAATGTATTGTAGATAGTTGTATATATACATAGATCTAAATTAAATAAAAAGAAATAAACTACGTTAAATTTTAATATATTTCAGGTGCCCACGTGTTGTGCTTGTCATATTCAAGAACTGAATCCACTAGCTCCAGATAACTTCGAGTCACACAATTCCGTTGCAGAAGATCAACATACACTCTCTTCAAACACTAATCAAAAAAAGTTAGCACCTAATAAACGAGTACAACAAACTACTAGCCCTTCCCAATATACGGTGCATGAAACACTCCCTGCTAAATACCCACCAGTAACTAGGAGACCATACAAGAAAAACCAGAATAAGTAATTATTATTTTATACAATAAAATATTTTACTTAAACGAATTTTAAATAACACTTAAATGTAATGCGCACATGAAATATTGAACGACTTTCACCTAACTATCTTTATCTCAATTTGACTTTTTACATAGTAATAATAATTACTAATTAGTAATTCGTAACGAATGACACTTGTTGACACAAAATCTGATGTTATCGTAATCAAATTAAATGTGTTTAGTATATTTTCGTAATAAAATGGCTTTAGTTTTTAAAATGTTTTAGATATCAGAAATATTTTGATAAATTCAAAATATTTTATCTTTATAACTAGGTAACCGTAGAAACTTTTATGTAGTTGAATATTTTATATCACTTGTACAGTAAAATATCAAAATAACAATAATTAACTACGCATATAATTCTACTGCAGTCAACAGATTAATCTGGTAAAGATAATATTTTTGATAGTCAAAATAAGAATAAAGATAGGTAGCTTGCACTACATAATAGGTACATACGCAAACAATACATAATATGCATACAACAATACGTCAATACATACATCAGTACAACATATAATAAACATATTTACAAATATTAATATATATACTATAGTAATTTCGGCAATTTCGCAATACATTTTAACTATCTATATAAGAATGCAAATAACTAATTCAAAATCTAATTCAAAAACTATTTTATTATTAATTGTAATATTATTGACTTCAGGCCCCAGCTATTCTGTAACTAAACTCGACGTTTTTATAATAAAATTCTTAACAATTTCATTTAACGCGCAGAGTACCTTGTGTTATAGTGAAAATATTTTTCATTTATTCACTGCCTAATGTTGTATTTATATTATTTTATAATTTATTGTTTTACAAAGTACCTAAAATGTATATTTTATTTTTATATTATTTGGTTTTAAGGTAAAATAAAATCAAATAATAAATATTAAAATGAACGATAGAAAGTTACGAGTGAGTATATGTTTTATACTAACAGACAACAGTACATAGTCAGAAACGTCTTGTAGATATGAATATTTGTATACTCAATATGTACTATTGTTTGTTAATAAACTCTTCCATTGACTATTTGTAAAAAATATCTGTACATACTATGTATAATATACGTTTTTATATGAAATATTATAATTATTGTTTATCTTAGACAAGTTTATGCAGTATATTAACAACTATAAAATAAAGAAAATAAGAACATATAGAAATAAAAAATATTAATGATAATTATGAATTATTAATGAAATCTAAACTAATAGTTTTGGTTAATAATAAGAACTGTTAAACATATAGTATAGTTATTAGTGTTCGTAAATTTAATTATAACTATAGTTATAATTATAATCATTTAATAACCTCTGCCCCTTACTCCTTAGTATGTAACCAACATAAACCTCCACAAAGACCTTAATATTCCTTAACCAAATCTCATTACATAAAATTCCACCCAAAACTTCGAGCTCATTCAAGTCCACTAATTACAAATATATCCACTACTTCACTCATTCCTAGAAGGTCAAAAAGAAAATGACCAAGAGACCTGCTCAATGCTTAGAAAAAAAATGATTAACTAACGAAAAACTATAAAAAAAAATAACAAAACCTAATTTCTGGTCAGGTGGCACTGCTGCAGGAAGCCTTCCTATTAATGTTATTTTATGTCTAATGTTCTTATGTCACCACACTTACTCATTATACCTTGTCTGTTGTATTGATTGTAAATATACTTTTTTAAATATATATAATATATAAAAAAAAGTCATAAAGTATGCTTGAATAATTTCGGATGATAATTCTTTACTAAGAATTCAGTATAATTTTAGTACCTATTATATTCAATTTTTTGATTTCTTTGATTTTATATAAGTATACATTTATAACATACTTCCTATATTTAATAGGAATTTTCAACAAATATATCTAATTAAATAATAATCATACCAATACTATATTATTAACTAACATTTGTATTTAATATATTATGTTCAGCATTAATTCCAAACCAAACACATAACTTATGTATTATTGGACGTTGGTGTACATTCTTAATATTAGTTTTTATTCTTTTTCACATCCTAATATATTTTAAGGAAATACAAATAAGTTAAATACTTAAATACTATATACTGTAGATAAATAACCGAAAGTTAGATGAGCTTATTAATTATTAGAATACAAATTAATTTATAAGTAAGTTGGTAGGTACATTTATAGTCAAAACAAAAAATACTTTAACATAGTTTCGTTGAAATAACACTTGGCCAAAATGTTTTGTTCCTTAAACTAACAATATTAGGTACTTATATTATTTTAATACCTACCTTAAAATCAGTATTATTTTTTACTATAAAATTTCCCAAACTTTTCCTACAAAGGACCGATACAGATATGAAACATATTTGGATATGATAGTAATTTTACAATGTGATGCAAATATTGTTGTATTGATATTTTATTTTCATTTTTAAATCACATTATATGAAAATTGAAATACTATGTCCAGTTAGTTATTTTAAACTATTATTTCAATATAATTCAAAGATAGGAACTTGGACCTTCTCAGGTATACTTGTGGACCCCAGTTTGAGATACACTAGCTTATTATGTGCAGTGGCGTAGCCAGGAATTTTGTGTGGGGGGGCTAAGTATACAAATACAATATGTCTTTCATTTACACTTTTTATATTTTTATTAATCTTGATAAAATTCTAAGGTCAACGCTGTAAATGGGGGGAGAGGCTATAGCCCCCTTAGCCACCCTCCTGGCTACGCCACTTATTATGTGTATAGCTTAACATTTTATACCTAATCATACTAAAAACATATATATATTTTACAGATTGACGACTCAAAACACTCCAACCGAACCGCCAGATCCGTATCAAACTACTAGGACCAATTACAACTATCACCCGATTATGGAATATTTTGTATCTCCACAACCGCCATCACCACCCGAAGTTCGGAAGCAGGATCTTATGCAGCGCAAAGCCGATTTGATGGCTCCCAATACCGAATTCCAAACGCCTAGCAACGGTTGGACTCCCATGGCAGAAGAGTTTGGCCCAAGACACTTGAAATAATGAAATGATTTCTATACTGTATTAATTTATTTGTTTATTTATTTATATTTTTATATTAAAATTTGATATTCAAAATACCTTTCACTTGTGTTGTTCCGGAAATACCAACACGGCAAACACTTGACCGATATCATTTCATACATTATAGGCAGTATAGATTAACAAACACTCGACTAATTGTTCCGGTTCGGTCACGTTCCAAGAACGCTTTCTTCCTTCACTGCGGCCGTCGTTGCTGTGGTTTTAGTAGGTATTGTTTTTTTGACGACCTAACACCGTTGTTTGTTTTGTTTCTGTTCGTAAAGATCATAGAAAAGTAGTTTCTTATTAAATATTTATCGCCAATAGTAATATAACACAGTAGGTACCTCCACGCACGGCTCACGACACCAATTTTTAGTTTAGACACACGATTTGTGGAGTATAGGTACCATAATATCGAATCGTTTATATTACGCTGGGTTCAAAATGATTCGACACGTACACAGTACTATACAGTAGTGTAGGTAAGCTTGGTGCTGATCCGTTTAAACGGTAATATTGTTCCGGTATCCTTCTATAACCGCAGTTTCGCGGTGCTCGTCGATTATTATTTATTATTACTGTTTGGATAGTAGTCCATATATTTTCGAATTCAGACCAAGGTATTCGCCGGTCACGGCCGTAAATTACGACCGGAAAACAAATGGCGTTTCGAAACGGTTTTGCGCAAACCATTGGCTAGACGGTGACACGGTGTCACTGCTTTGTTCGATAACCGTGTGACATTTTCAGATAAACATTTTAATTTTGAAACGCACGTGCGACGATTACTATCTCTCTGGTTCTCAAAAAAATTAATTAGCAAATACATATTATATAGTATATTATTTATTGTTATTTTTACCACAAACAAAAAAAAATGATATGTGTACACAATTTGGTATATGTACACAAACGCAATAAATTGACTCGACGACCGATTAAAGTGACAATAATATAAATCGTAAAATACGTTCGAACTGAAATTGATTATATATTATTATGTCACTATGTTGCCCCACATGTAGTTGAATACTGCTCAAATACTGAATACATATTGTAATTATATCAATAAATTCAGTTGTTATAATTATTATGTAAGCACTGCAAATTTTAAAATGGCCACATTATAAGAATTTCTTTAATATAATACATAGTATAGTTACTATTTAAACATATTATTTGTTTTGTGTGAAACGTGTATATATCTAAGTAGATTTGAAATAGTGAGACGTTTGATTTCTCTGGTCACTTTTTGAATTTTGTCCTATATATTCACACTTTAGCGCCTATAAATTAATTCTGATTTAAAATTAATGAAAACACATTGCAGTTAATACATTTTAATAACTGATATATAATGTAAATATCTGGTGTACTAGAAGATGATATTCACGTAGGTATGTAAACTATAACTACTATTATTTGTAAATTATTTTTTTGTAGAGTTAAATATAAAGTTATAGCTTAATTATATTTTAACATTAATATATTTTGGGCCTGGCTTCAGCTTTTTCTGGCCTAAGGACGGTTATTGTGACAATATCGATACCGATATACAACTATAGGTAGGTATGTACAGTGGCGTAGCCAGGAATTACCCGAGGGGGGGGAGGGGGGTTTAATGACTTTTATTTTTGCTCAACTCTAAAATATATTGCTCAGGAGTGGTAAAACTAAATGCGCTAAAATGTACCGAGTTATACGCTTATATACGCTTATTTAGTAATACATTTTTTTTTTAGAAGGTGAATAATAATTATATTTATTTATGTTAATACAAGTACACGCAGTACATACTTATTGACTTATTATTATAAACAAGTAAAAATAGAAAATAAAAAAAAATTTAAATTGTAATATTTATATTAAAGTTAATATATTTTTTCACATTATAAATTACAAGCTATAGCAATCTTATTTTTCTTGAGTCTTTTGCAAAGTCATTAAGAACTTCATCTATTGTTAAAATAATTTCACGATGAATATTTAGTAGTGCTAAACTATTTAATCTGTTTTCTCCAATAGTATTTCTAAGGTATGTCTTAAGTCTTTTTAACGTAGAAAATGACCTTTCACTGCTTGCTGTAGTTACGGGAAGTGTAGCTATTATTTGGAGAAGTTTATAAGTAGATGGAAAAATGAGTGGGTTACATGCTATAAGAGCTTCTAATGCATTTTTTGGTTTTTCTGTTCCAACAAATTTTTGTGTCCATGTCAATACTTCTCCAATTACTGAATCTGAACTACATTGAAGATCTTCACTATACTTTTCTGCCAAACTTTTTATGTTTTCTTCTCTATTTGGCAAATTATTGTTTGGTAAGAGACAGCAAAAATTGGTAATTAGAGATTTATGTGCAATGAACCTATCATGAAGTTGACTAATAAAATTATCTAAAAATGGAATAAACAATGATATTTTATAGTATTCATTTGGACAAGTAGTTTTTACATTAAACCGATTTTTTTGTATGTTTGTTAAACGAGATAAAGTTATTTCAATATCAAGTGACATACATTTTTCTTTCACTTTCAAAAATAGTTTCTTAAAATCCTCATCTGCATTATTTCTGATATTTTTTAACACATCAGATACATTATCTGCCAGAGACATGGCTTCAATCAAATCAATATTTTGCATTTGAAGAAGTTTACTAAGAGGTAAACTTATGCTAAATACTTTTGCTAGCAGATGTGTTGCCAAAATAAATTCAGGTTGCTTAATAGCACACAAAAGTTGATAAGCTCCTGATGACGATTCTCTGTCTGGCCATGTAGAAATAATTGATAATCCATCAATAACTGCATCAAATAATTAATAAAAGTATAAATAGAACAATATTACCCGTCGCTGTCGTCGGGTCATACATACACGCCATAGACATATACATGGGCGTAGCGAGTATGGGGCAGGGGTGGGCAAGTGCCCCCCCCCTGCACTACAAACTAAATTGTATTTCTTATATCACACGTGTAAGTTTTACGTTAAAATTGAAATATTAAATATGATATAAGTACATGAAGTCTAAAAATAGTTTAGTGGGACCGAGTGATATCTACACGTGTAATCGTTTTATATTTTATCGATTAGTCTATCTAAAGATTATTTGAATTATGAGTTAAACGCTAATCGTTATGTGCTTTATACATTAATATCAACAGCGATAGTGTCAACAATCAAGTGCAGCAGACAGCAGTACGTGCCGTTCTGTGTTCGCGTAAGTAACGAATATAATATATAACGTTTACATTTAATATTATTTTACACGATGGACATAAGAAAGTTTTTTGGTGGTAAGTACATATCTTGTTTTAGAATTATAAATAGTTACAAAGTAAAATAAATAAGTACAAAGTCTTTTACTTATATAATATATACACTATGTATTGTGACCGCCGCCTGCCGCAACTATGATATATTAAGAGGACGCTATACCCGCATGCGTTGTCTTCGTCTTACAAGCATACAATATAGCGAAAAACTGTTTTGCGCGGGACAAAACCACTCCCTTGGTATTTATAGTAGAATTACCAAAATTCCACAATACATAGGAAACATGATGATGAGAAAAGGGCTATCAGAGAAGAATTTTTAGGCTTCATTGAACTACATGCCATGGATGCTGTTAACATAGCTAGTGCAATAGATCATTTTATTCAAAACGAAGGTCTCGATGGAACGAAGCTTGTTGGACAAGGCTATGATGGTTGTGCAACTATGGCAGGGAAAATCAATGGAGTGCAAACAATTTTACGAGAAAAATATCCACATGCTCTATTTTTTCACTGTGCAAGTCATAAATTAAACTTAGTCATAGTGAAAGATCACCGCGAACACGCTGACACAGAAATTCAAGAATTATTAACTGCTGCAAACATAGCAGCTGAGAATATAGGAGCAGAAATTAATCTTCCTAGGATTGTTAAACAACAACAACATCGTTCGAATCCTCCAGCGTTAAATTCGGCTGAATTCTGGAAGAGATCATTACTAATTCCATACTTGGATTCATTAATATCCTCATTGGAACGGAGATTTTCTGATGAAAACATACCTGCTTTTTCACTTTTATTATTACACCCTTCAAATATGTTAGATATGAACACCAAAGAATTTAAACTTAAAATAAATGATTTTGCCAATTATTACCAAATTAAAGACTTGGAAAGTGAAGCAGAATTATGGTACAACATCTGGAAGGAGAAAAAACTTGCTAAAAGCAAACTATCAGACATGGAAATGAGTGAAGTAGTAGAAGAAACAGATATTTTCTTTCCTAAAATAAAACAAGCCTTGCATATTTCTTTAGCTCAGCCATGTACTACTAGCACTATTGAGAGGTCATTCAGTACGTTAAGAAGGGTAAAGACTTGGTTGCGTTCAACGATGACGGAAAACCGTCTGAATGGTAAATCAAAATAGTTTTTTTATATCAATGCTAATTAATAATTATATTAATATTAATCATATTATACAATGTAAATTATTTCAGGTCTATGCATACTAAGTGTGCATAGAAAGCTGCTAGATGAAAAAAAGGAAGAGATGCAACAGAAAATTCTCAGCAGATTTTGCGAAGACTCTAGACGATTGTCATTGTTATAATTTAAAAATAATGATTAATGAATAATATATTATAAATAAATACTTTAAAAAAAAATTGAGTTTTAATGATTTAAAGTTGGCTACATCACTGCCCCCCCTGATTGAAATCCTAGCTACGCCCATGGACATATACATAATATGTTTATATAATTCTGAGTAGATGTGGGATCGTTCGGTCGTCGGTGCGATAAGCACGCGACGATCACCGAATAGCGTCCCACAGCCGTACATAGAAAATACTATAATAATATTAAATAATAATAAAAATAAAAGTATTAAAATCATACAATAAAAACATTTTTTTTTTTTTTTAAGGCCAAAGGGGGGGGGGGTTGAACCCCTAAAACCACCCCCTGGCTACGCCACTGGG